TAATGGCGTGAATAGATTTATTTTTAGTGGCGTAAAGCATTGTGGGATTTATATTTGCACAGAAACAATAGAAATTCTTAAGAATGCAAGTGGTTGTGGGATTTATATTCGAAGAAACAAATGATTTATCATCATAAGAACGGTACGTTATTTAAACGTTTCCCAAACTCCAAATAGATTAAAGTACCGAATAGATTTATAGTTCTAAATATAATTTTTTCAAAGAGTTTTTTTTAGGAGATTCGATAGGCCCATTAGTCATCCAAGGACTTTTTAAGTTTTTCAGTATTGTTTTCATTTCAATCTTCATAAACGCTATTTCGTATTTAAGTTTTTGCAACTTGCAATCTAACCCCAGTTATATTTTTGAAACATTTTTAAGGCTATTTTAAAGCTGAAACCAATTTTTCAAGATTTATCTGATGATAAACTGTTAACCAAACGCCACCATTCAAACAAAGCATTTAACGCAATAATATGGACTCGCTGTCCAAAAAATGTATTCTTATCCAGAGGAACGTTTGAATTGGCAAATAATTCTGCTGTTCTTCATTTCAATGATAGTGGGGAAGGAGTAAAATCTGTTTTGGAAAGTTTTGGGATTAAAGGATAAATAACTTCTAAGAAACTAATGGAGGCTGATAATAAGCGTATTAAATATATAAAGCTCAAATCTTCTAAATATAGTGATAAAACAGCGTAAAAAACTAAGAAAAATTAAAAAAAGCATAGTGGATGTTGAGGTTTCAAATGAAAAACAAACTTCATATATACCTGGTGGTTTTTAAGCATTATTTTTTGAAATACTTTAATAAAAGTCTCGTTTCCCCGGTTTAATAATTTTTGAGACATTCCACATTTTAAAACATGGTTTTCTAAAAATGGTATAAATTTATGAACTGAAATTTTCATGGCATTTTTATAAGACATTGATAAATCATTTCTCATAGGATTTTGTAATATAAAGAGAAAATTTCTGATTTATAGGAAATTTAGTGCTTATTTGAGTGACTAAATAAATAAACTCTGAAACATTTTGCTTATCTTTGGAGTTATCGAAGAAAATCAAAAAATTCTATGACAAATGAAAATATTATATATAGGGGAAAGTGGGGCAACATGGCGAACGTTTTGAAAGCCCTGAGTTACTGCAAAACTATCAGTCGTGAAGCAATAATACTTTCTCAGTATGTTTATGCTATTAAAATGATTCATTGCCTGCATGAATTTTCAGTTTGCAAATATAACAATTTGAAATAAGTATTAAAATAAAAAGTTCTTCAATTTGTCATCTGGTCACGTGACCGGGGCAAGATGACTTATTATGCAATTTTTGCCTTCAATTTTATAAAATTTTAAAAACTACCAATAACTCTAACTAAAGTAACACAAAATAAACCTAAGTCGCATAAAACTACTTCTAAAGAAATTAAACTTGACGGACACCATCCATTATGAGAAACCGAAACTGAGAAATTTTTTTTAAGCGCAAAAAGTAAACTTATGCGTTTAAAATTGCGTTAATAATATTTAAAAAAAACAATTGGTGTTTTAAAATACAAGATGCAAATATGTTTTCAAATACACCCCATTGTTTGAAGTTTAACAAATTTATTTTTGGATAATCAAGGCAAAAAAAAAATTTTAATGATTTGTTTTTTTAATTTTTTGAAATAGAATCAAGTTTTATCACAAAATATCAATAAATAGCTCAAACTCAAAAAAATAAATTATTTCTAGGGCTACCACCTTAAAGAATTGTTTGTAAAGATGTTATTAATAAGAGTTGTGGTTTGTCAAGTTGCACATAAAACGGGTCATTTATGAAAGGTTCTACTTAGTACTGAAGGTACTATTTAGAAAGCGTTTGGTATTATAATTAAATTACAATTTCAAACGATCCAGAATAAAATCTCCCATTATATACCATTATATATATTTGCATTTGTTTAGCTAGTGTTATATAATAATTTCAATGCTTTTCAAATAGATTTTATATATATATATATATATTTTTTTTTTTTTTTTTTTTTTTTTTGTTCTTATTACAATTTTATTTGTTATAATATCGTTTTACATAAAATAAAAAGAACACGGAAACTCGAAGAGGATGGCAAGATCCTGTCACCGAGAACCGTTTAACAATGCGATACAAAATAAATAAAAACAAAATACCGATATTTACAATACAAGATTTTTAATAAGCCAAAATCAAACATAAAATACCGTTAAAAAATGTCAAAATATGTAATAAAACTAAATATTTAAATAAAATATTCAAAAAAACTCGAAGATGTTATAATTGTCAAGATAACTTTTTTCAGTTTATTTTTGAAAGTAAGAAAACTACAATTTTTAGAAAAATCAAAGTTTTTTAACACTATTTGGTTCCACAGAAAAGCTCCGCGATATGATATAAGAGATCTTCCAAAATTTGTGTGCGAATAATGTTGATGAATAAGATTGTTATTTCTTAATTCATATTTGTTTCTTGGCTTTATTGCATATAAATTTTGAAAAAATTTTGGGGTTAAGTTTATCTTACATTTGTACATAAAGCAAAGAATATTAAAAACATTTAGTTGATATATATTAAGAATATTCATGTCTATTAAAAGAGGTTTTGCATGAGTATAACGATCTTTAAAATTTATTAGACGTGCTAGATGCTTCTGTTGCCGATAAAGAGGTTTTAATTGACTGTTATTAGCACTACTATATTGCCACCAGGTGGTCTATATATTACCGTTATATATGCGTTTGTTTCACATTAGGCTTTATATCTTTAGGGTATCTTGATTTATTAAATTCAACTGTAAAAAATTTGCAGTTTGCGTTTAGTGCACTCGGGTGTTCCAGCATTTTGAATTGAAGAGTATTATGTATAAAAAAACACAAACCTCCACGATATCCGCTACTCCTAGTTTGATGAAGAGCTTAGTATCCTTGTATTTTAAAATTTGACTTTAAGATATCATTGTCTCTACACCATGTTTCTATAAGACATGTTACTTTAAATTTGTTATTAATGTCATGTATCATTGTTTGAAAGTTTTCAAAATTTTTCTCATGCTGAGTATATTTAAGGTCAGTGTTGAAAACAGATTTGGACTGACTACTTTGACCATATGTTAACAATTGAGAAGATAATTGTGTAATCTTTTCATTCTGAGTATCTGAGGTTGATGTTCCAAATGTGGTGGCGGCTCACAAATAACAAAATTTTAAAAAGCATCTTTTTGTGTTGTAAGAAATGACTACTTTTCCGCTATGATGCACTAGACTCAAAAAAACGTATAAGATTTTAGTCATTTTTTTTTTAAACAAAAATCTTTTTTGCAGCTGATCTTCTTTTTCGACTTTCTGATTGTTTTCATACACGTATTATTTAAGCATTGACCAGAAATCTGCTATAGGTCGTAGTTCTGGTACACATGCCAGATTATCAACTTTTGTTAGATAACGGATATTTTTTCATCAAGAAGAGACTAAGTTAGACCAGAATACATTATAACCATCACTGTAATGTTTGTTGATAAAAGGAATCAATCTTTTGATGATGAAATAATTTTTGTACACTGTTTGGTTAACTGCCAGTCCCGCAGAAACAATAAACGGTTTTAAGATTCCACGAGAGAATATGGTAAGCCACACAATTTTTTTTTTTTCAAATTTGCTTTTGTGCTTATAGTTTTAATTTTT